TATAACAGAACCGACCAATTATACGAGATTAAGTAAGAAAATCTTCAGCCGAAGCAGATAATTTAGCAAACTTAAGCCCGTATAACCCGGTAGTCCGTGAAACCACAAAGGATTTCAAACCAATCGACATGCAAACCAAGATCGTACAAGTTTAGCAAGTACCGTCACACATTACATAAAGTTCGCAATCACAGTTGGGTATATCAGAGTTTAAAATATAAAGTTATTACAATCCAAGTTCAAACTGAAATAGCGGAAGCAAATAGTTTTAAAGCCACACACACACTTCTAGTTCAGATACAATGCCAATAGGTAGTCATCTCCGACAAAAGCATCAGATGAGAGATACAGACTGACCATTGCCCTTTGTCCTAGTTGTCACCCATCGCCGGATACTCGCCGGATACAGGCAGTTAATGCAATAGCCGTAGTACATTTGACCATCTGCAACAACAATGGGAACAACGCCCTGAGTACGAGAAGGTACTCAGCTAGACTTACCCGTCTTAAACCAAAATAAAGCGACACCAAGGATTATGCAAGGCTTTCTTTAGTGAGCTAGCTAACTTGTTTGCGAAAAGCATAAGCTATCATGAAGAAACCATTTTAAATACTTTGCATAATCTTTATTATGACATATCCATCTAGGTAAGCACCTGTACTATAGCAATCACTTGATTAACCAATAACATCCAGTTACTAATTTAGATTTAGCATATCCCATACCATCCAGATAATCATCATTGTTCCATAATAATTACTACGATGCCGTAGCTCGAGTCAAGTGCTCACTATCCAGGAGCGATGGCAATTCGAATCGATTCCTAACCAGCTGGTGATTTATTCCTCACACAAACCACACTCACCGATCAAGTGAGCTACAGATCACCAATGACACTTTCCAAGTAGCCGCGGGATAACAGCCGGGACTGCACTACCCAGGGACCGCCCGACTGCCAGGACGCACCTTGGGCTCACTCTTCGCGTCCCCGTCATACCCCCTTCAGCACCAGTCTGCGCATCCGGGTTTATCCCGGCTCGAATAGTGTCACTAGCTTCGCGTCGAAAGGTACTTTATTCGGCCAGCTAAATGTGAGGCATGCGTTCAACATGACAAGAGGGACGAGCAACGATCGGTCCTTAATCGACACAGATGGAAACTAACAGCACCCCAGAACCCTGTCTGGTTGCCTCCAACTTTTCCGTCCGGTCTCAAATTTTCCAGCACATATGGTTAATTCCAGGATATCATTCTTTCCATAGCCAATTTCTTCCAGTAACCACCTATAATGTAGGTGACCGGATAACACCGATCGCTACCGGTCTAAGCAAGACTAAGCAGTTATTCGATCCTGACCTAACAGGGTAAAAGGTAATAAGGTAGGCAAGGATAGTAATACATGCATCAACGGTTTCAATCAACTCCTACAACTTAATGCAACAATATATAAACTCATATATATAGAAAGAATTGCTTGTATAAATTAGGAGACTTAGAATGCTCCGGGGCTTGCCTCGTTCGAACGAACTAGGTTGATGATCCACGCACTCGGGCAAGTCCTCTCCTGGCTCCTCTTCCTCCGGCACCTCCTGTGTCTGGACTTCTGGTGGATCTGTCCCGGTCTGCTCTTCCTGCACTACTACTAGCAACTCCTCCTGTGATCCTGTATGATGCAGATGTATAAGTGCTAATGCATAGGTGCATCGGAGAGATGACATGTAATGATCATGATGCATGAAATGTAGATGAGTATGTTTAACTTTATTGGGCATAGTAAAAGTAAAGTTCTTCTACAAGGTACCCAACACCATTCAAGAACATGTACTACTATTCTACTACTACAACCACTGTACTAACATGTCAAGTCACCACAACAAGCTAAGATGCTTCAAAGATACACCAAGGCAAGCATTATTAACTAAACACGCATTAAAGAAGATTATTTGATTTCATTTTAAATTAGGGCTACAACAACAACATATATTTATGGTGCTCATAAAAATCTGAGAAAATTACAGTAGCATAGTACTACTCTAAGTAGACTACCATAAAATTTTTATGGCATTTGGATAAGTAAAATAGCCTACACAAAAATGACAAGGCATAAATGCTTAAAAAGGCATAATTAGAAAACCTTAGTGAAAAGTGTCAAGCAACAGATTTCATATTTTTCCTAACATCCTTAAGGTACTGATATACTCCCCACAAAATTTCATGGTCATAGGATTCCTAGATAATTTACAAAAATTCACACAAGTATCAATCAATGATGAAAGGAAAATCTATAACTCAAAAACCATACATGCAATGACTCTCAAATTTTTACCAGAGCTTCTACTAAGGAAGAATAGCTCACCCACAAAATTTCATAATTTTTGGAGCATAGAAACTCAAGATATAATGTAAACAAGTTTGCATGCATTTAAAAACACATTTCAAGTTCCTATTTAAATCATCCAAAATTCCTACATCATATGCTCATATCATATTTTTCTAAAATACTAGACTTCTCTGTGATTCTAACAAAATTTGAATCACACCATTTAGATCTACACATTTGGAGTTACAAAATTCTTAAAACGGCATTCAAATCAGCAATTTTGAACTAGCCCTATGAACAACAGTCACTGACGCATGGGACCCGCGTGTCAGCCGGACCCGCTTGTCAGTGAGACAAAAACAGGGGAGGCGCACGCGACGGCGCGGCAACGGCAAAGCTCGCCGACGGAGGCTCCTCCGGTGAAACCGACGGCACCGGCGTGCTCCCCACAACGATGCGCACCCATTCATGCCCTCACTTCAACCTCTACCGAACCCTAGCAAGGACGACGGCGAGCATGGCGGACGGCGGCGCAGCCCGACGGTGCTCCGGCGAGGTTCGGCCCTGTGGGACAAGGCTAAGCTCGATATGAGCTTTAGGAGGTCACCACGATACTACCCAAACAAATAGAAGAGGACGGAAGAGTTCCTAGCTACCCCGACCACAGCGGCCTCAACTCCGGTGAGGACACGCCCATGGCGGCGGTGGCGGGAATGGTCAATGCGCCCTTACCAAAATTGAAACGGCGAGGTGGACGCGCTAAAGGGGACTACGGTGGCGCGGTGGATTAGCTAGAGCGAGCAATGACACGACGGCGAGGAAGATATGCGACGGCGACGCGCTCGGCAGAGCAATGGTGACGGTGGCGGCTTTGCAGCTACGAGGGCGAAAGCAAAGGAATGGAGTGCGACGCTGGGAGACTCACGGGCGCGCTTAGGGGCTTCATTTGGTGTGCGGCAGCCCGACGTGGCCAGTGCAGTCAGGCCGGCGGCGGCGCGTGGCGCCACGCGTCCATCAAGTTCTGAAACCGGCCGGTGCACTGTAGCTTCCATTCAGTTAACCCCACCGACGTCTAACAGCGAGTTTACATCGGTCATTAACTCCTAAACCGTGACTAATTAGCTCCAGGTGAAGTTAACAAAGTTGGAGATTGAAGTGAGGACTACAACTTTCCCAATTGGAACTTGAGCTGGTTCGGCCTGGTTAGGGAGATACAGGGCTCCAAACATTGGTACATGAAACTGAAAATCAGTCCCAAGACTTAGAAAAATTCTAAGTCACCAATTTTCCCCCAAAACTGACTTGTGGGACCTTTTTGAGCATGTTGTGCACGTTTTCATGACTTGACCTCTAAATAAAATTTGTTCCTTATATAATTTGCTACAACTTTGTTTTATGTTGCTCAGACATGCAAACACTCTAAGCTGTACTTCTTAAACAGTCAAACAACAGAGCTCCAGGGGTCAACACAAGTCAAACTATTACTTGGAAGTGTAATTAGGCAATATGATCAACATGAACATTGTTCCAAATGACATTCTAGGTGTCACTAAGTCGTTTAAGAGAATTATTAGCCACATCACACATTGGTCACACAAGAATCACGCACTGTATGTACTGAAACAATGAAAAACAATTGAAATGTTACATTTGTTTCATAGTCATGTTTCACACGTTTCATGCACACATGGCAAAACAACATAGCATCCAATCTATTAAAACACAACTATGCAACATACATGTTTCATTAGTAGGTTTCAATTCTATATTTCATGTCATGCTTATGGATGCATAATAATGATTATGCTCATGATTTGCAAAATGTTAATGCATGCTTAACACCGAGGTGTTACAAACACGGGCAGGCATGCGGGCAGCCCGCTCAGGCGTGTGGCGGGCGGCCGCATTTGGCGGGCGGTCGTAGCTCGGGCGTGTCCGTAGTGGAGCACTAGAGCTTCAGGGCCGCCTGTGCAGCTAGCGGCTCATGTGGCCAGGGGTCTAACACGGCGGCTCATCCGAGGTCATAGGATTGGATAGTAAGCACTGTTGCTCTCCAGTTTAGATTATTTGATCAATTCACCATATTTGGCTATTCGATTCTCTGGAGTTTGAATGTAGGCTAGAAGCTCAATTGCCAAATGCCTTAGTGATGTTTCAGTGGCATTGATTGGGCACTTGAACCTTGGTCATTGCATACGGGAGAGCTGGACCCCCTATGTTTAGTTACATAATACTAGTATATTATGTTGTAATTCTGTAATTGAAGTACAAATTAGACCTCTATTATCTTAGGTTTTAGTGACTTTATGTACCAGTTAATTTGGTTGTGGGAACAAAAAGACACAAGTTTGTCTTGTAGAGATCCAGAACATAAGTAACATTAGTGAGAACGAACAAAAGCAAGTGCAAATCCGGATGGCCATAGTAATACGTGAATTGACAATTTGTGGATGAATAGCTTGTTTATAATGAATATATATCATATTACCGGGGCTTGCAAAACTGATAAGTATTAGGAAATAAAACATAGCTGAAAATGCCAGAGTGACCATGATATCCTAAATGCTTATTTGTTTGACACTACTGTGTAGTGTTTGTAAAGCAAGTGACCAAGGAGATAAAGCTGCATCTCATATATATATTCCCTATAGAAATTTCAGCTTGATTATCAGTTATTTGCTAGTCGTTATCTATTTCTTCTTCTGATTCACTGTCTTCGTCATCTGAATCCATGTACTCACCACCTTCGCTGTCATCACTTTCAGATTCTTGTTGCTCATCTTCATCCTCAACGTCACCCTCGTAATGGAGTATCGGATTACCTTCCACAGCCACAGGCATACCTTCAGCTTCGGCTTCAACTTGAGGTGTGTCCAATATACTTGTGTCATCATCTTCTATTGTATTTGGATTCGGCACAATTATTACTTCATTTTCTTGGCAAGCTTCAGGACACTGGATTTACTTGATTTAGTAGTGGCATCTTCTTCATCAGTGGGAGGAGTGTCAAAATAATCACGAGGTTTAGTCTTTACCACGACATACCATTTTGGATCTTGAGTATCATTCACATAATATACTTGCTCTGCTTGCGAAGCCAAAACATATGGCTCATCTGTTGATAGCCTGCGAGTAGTATTTATCATTATGAACCCATACTTATCTTCTTTAACTCCCCTTGTTGTATGTACATCCCACCATTCACATTTAAAAAGAACAACCTTATGAGTCCCATATAAAAGCTCCACAATATCTGTCAAGACACCAAAGTAATCTTTGTTTCCAGTTCCTTCATCGCCCTTGACAAATACTCCACTGTTTTGTGCTTGAAATAGGGCATCTCTGTCCCTTGTGTTAAATCTCCATCCATTGTCCATATAACTTGAGAAATGTGTCACTCTAGTATCGGGTCCTCTTGCTAGATCAAACAATTCATCAGAAATAGAAGGATCTCCTTTGGAATACATAGTTGATATCTACATGAAGCACAGTAGTTAATTAAGCTACCCTAAAGAAATAATGTAATAAATACATCCTTATACTTACATGGTTCTTGAACCACTGAAAGAACTCTTTCTCATGACTCTTGTCTACATTTTTGGTGCTCTGTGTCCTTAAATATTCCTTGTGAATGCTGTGACATAGGAGAATAAATGTTACAAAATTGGAGGTCCACAGTTCAATGAACATCTTAGGAGTGGCTTACCCTGTATATGGAGAAGCCTCTTCACAGTTCTTTAGAACATAGGCTTGTGCTTTGTTCAATTCATTCATCTCCATCTCACAATATCTATTCCCAATAAGCCGTCTTCCAATTTTGGCAAAAATCTGGAGCTGTGTGTTGCTATTGTTATCATCACTGTCATCATTATGGCTTGGCCTGTTGATTCTTGTCTCAATTCCATGCAAGTACATAGAACAAAGAGTCACACATTCCTGTAACACTACAGCCCCAGCAATTGCTCCCTCTGGACGAGCTTTGTTTTTTACAAATGACTTTAGTCTGCGCAAGAATCTCTCGATGGGATACATCCATCGATATTGCACAGGCCACCTACCATTGCTTGTTGAGCTAAATGGATTGGTAGATGCATCATTACATCAAACATGGATGGAGGAAATATCTTTTCTAATTTGCAAAGAGTAATAGCAATTGAAGAATCAAGCCTTTTAAGGATCTCCACATCTAACACTTTTGAGCAAATTTCTCGAAAAAAGTTGCATAGCTCAATTATTGGAAGACAAATATCAGCTGGAAGCATGTCGCGAATAGGTAGTGGAAGGTATCTATACAGAAACACATTGTAATCATGGCACTTCATCCCTGATATTTTAACATTTATTGCATCTACATAATTAGATACCTTTGCAGAATAACCATCTGGGACTTTGATTTTTGTCAAGAACTCACAAAATGCTTTCCTTTTAGGTCCAAAAAGTGTATAAGGTGCATTGTGAAATAAAAATTTTCCATCATCTGTGGGAGTCGCATGAAGTTTTGGCTGTATTCCCATGATTTCCATATCAAATCGAGAATTAATGTTATCCTTTGTCTTCCCCTCCTGTCCAAGCAAGGTACCCACCAAACTTTCACCAACATTCTTTTCAATGTGCATGACATCTAGGTTATGTCTTAGTGTCAATTTGCTCCAATAAGGGAGTTGAAAAAATATACTCTTTTTCTTCCAAACACCATACACTATGCTGGAGCGTTTCCTTTTCTTGTCAGATTTCCCAAATATAACCTGAATGGCAGCATAATGATAGCAATGTTACACCTTTGAAATTACATCAAAATATCATAACTCGTATCATATTTATTTACAAAAAGAAAGCTGCATAGACTTAAATCTTTTTGTATGTATACCTGAGTAAACTTTTCATATTGTGAAAGAACTTCAGCGCTTGATAATGGTTTTGGAGCACATCTCCTTTCCCTTTGGCCATTAAAAGAAGTAGTATTGTTCCTCCAACTATGTCTTGCTGGTAGGAATCTCCTGTGTCCCATGTAGCAACCTTTTCTTCCATTGGCTAGCCATTGGTAGCAAGTGTCGGTATGACAGGATGGACATGCATATTTTCCCTTTGTGGACATTCTTGATAAATTCCCTAAAGCAGAAAAATCATTAATTGTCCAGAGCAATGCAGCTTTTAGTGTGAATTTATGCTTGGTCGAAGCATCATAGGCCTCCACCCCACCCCACAACTCAATCAGCTCATCAATTAATGGCTGTAGATATACATCAATGTCGTTGCCAGGTGCTTTAGGGCCAGGAATGAGCATTGAAGTTATCATATAAGGATCTTTCATGCACATCTAAGGAGGTAGGTTATACATCACAATAACAATGGGCCATATGCTGTATGATGTGCTCATATGTCCAAAAGGATTGAATCCGTCACTAGCAAGCCCAAGCCTAACACTGCGCGCATCTGATGCAAATGATGGGAAATTTTTGTCAAAATCCTTCCATTCCTTTGAATCTGCCGGGTGTCTCAAATATCCATCATCAACTAGCTCCTCTTTGTGCCAACGCATATTAGTTGCAGTTTTGGAACACATATACATCCTTTTCAATCTTGGTATCAATGGGAAATAGCGCAGCACCTTCTGTGCAACCTTTCGAACTCTTCGCCTTCGTGATTTGGATACATTGTTCTGGTCATCACTTTTCCACCTAGAAAGCTTGCACACTGGACATGACTCAGCTTTAGCATAATCACCTCTGTACATAATGCAATCATTTGGGCATGCGTCTATACGCTTGTAATCCAATCCCAAATCTGACATGACTTTCTTAGCATCGTTGAATGACTTTGGAGCCTTATTCTTGGTAGGAAGTACCTTCCAAAACAGAGTAAATAGAGCATCCATTGCATTTCCACTCAAATCATATAGGCACTTGATGTTCATCATTTGCACAATGAACGATAGTGTAGAGAAGGTACTGCATTCTGGGTACAGCTCATTGTCTGCCTCTTCAAGAAGTCTATAAAATTTGCTAGATTCTTCAGTAGGACCTGTAGATGTGGTCATGTCATCCTGCAAGCCAGGTGATGAACCATCAAATGATCCCAAGTTGGCATTCACAGCATTTCCAAAATCATTCACCATCTCACGCAGACCATAGTCATCATGATCTTCCATGTTGTCGTCACTGTCTTCTGAATCTGACACACTCTCTCCATGATGATCCCATACTCTGTACTCTTTTCATATAACATTCAGCATGAGATGCTCCATTATAGATATCTGATCAGCAAAGTAATTGTTTTTGCAGATTCTACAAGGACATCGAAGGAGCTTGTCCGCACTGCAGCCAGAAAAAGCAAACTCAATAAATTTTTTAGCTCCTCCTTCGTATCGGGGAAGCCTCCTATTGGATATGTCCATCCAACTTTTGTCCACAACCATCCTGTCATTGTGGAATGAATTGTTTACAAAACTACAGTTTGTCAAGTTATTGAAGAACTTATAAAAATGACAGATAAATATAGGTTGTGTATGCAGAACAGAAGACCCAGAAAATATTCAATGGGCTATCGGTATTTGGTATGCATAACAGATACAGGCCTATGGCTGTGCTATGGGTATGGCAATGACAATCAGGATGGAACAATCGAGCTACACAGAGGTCCTGCATCTGGCTGCTTCAAGAACAAACACATGTACAGTCTTGAAAGGGGAGAGGCTTCAGATGGAAACATGAATGATAGTGCGGACAACTTGTATTTTGATCAAAAGTATTACCTGACGGCAGAGGTGTTGGACATACGCATCTCAGCTCTGCACCAGTGGATCGGTGGCAAGAAGCAAATGGATCAACGGGCGGCGGCCATAGCAGTTTGGGGGCTGTTTAGGGTTTAAGCGGTAGCCATTGAGTATTGAGTTCAGATTCGTGGGCTACCTGATCTGGGTCCAAAAATGTAGGAGGTTTTCGCTCTATTTTCTTTTTCTTTCTATTTTTGTGGTGAACATTAATGCCGGTGAATACGGCAGGCAGCCTGGTTACTTGTTAAGGACTTGATTTTGTATTTTACAAAGATTTAATAATTAATAAAGCACCATAATTTGCTTTATTAGTCATCGAAATATGAGTTAGTTATTTGCAAACAAAATGTTTGCCAAAACAAAACTAATATGGTTCGAATGTTGATATTTGGCATGATATTATGAGTAGAAAACTATGATATTCTATATTATTTTTTATAAATATTTAATCTATGATCCAAATTAATCACCACACTGGAATAAATTTAGAAAATAGGAGCAACTACATCGTGACTAACACGGTGGCAACTAACACGGCTGGCCAGGTTCCACTATAAGAACCTAAACAGATGAGTCTCAATTCAACTTGTTTGGTTTGGTCCCCAACTCTTATATATGCAAGCTCTAGTTAACAATTTTTGACCTGTTTGGTCGCCCTGTTGGGCTCGTTAGACATGCTTCTTGAAGCCACCGACCACCTGTTAGTCAGGCCAGCCTGGAATGAGGTGGGCGGCGTTTTCGTGAAGCTAGGCCCGAGCTAGCCCTTTTATCCGCTCTCCTCACCTCCCGCTACAAGATAAAGCAACCAACAAAAACGTAACATTTCTTATACTGACTAAGCTAGGTCATGCAACCAAACAAGTTCATCTTGTATCGTTGAAGTCAAGCTTGAGCTAACCAGGCTTAATTGGCTAACCAAACACACCCATATTGAATATCTTTGACTGACCCCCTCTATGTATAATTTCTAGCTCCCCCAAGGTTTCGAGGATACACTGGCTATGGTTCTTGGCTATGTTATAACGCTATGAGGAGCTCAAAGACCCTTTAGTTCTTCGGCTCCCACATATGTCGTTTTATTTGTTGAAATTTAGTTATATGGCATTCAAAGAACCTTATTTTCTTTGGAAAATACCATGGAAGGACCATTTAGAGAAAACTAATTGTCAAGTGATGCGTCTTATTCGAAGAGATTTGAAGTCAAATTTTATTCACTATCTAAAAAATAACAAAAATATTTTTCCAATAAGCACACATTAAAATAAATTTGGTATTAAAAATTATAATTTCTAGTAGAAATATTATGGACCTTGTTTATATTTTTTTCACATTATATCTCTAGTAGAAATATTATTGGCCTTGTTTATCGTTTTTTTTCACACCGAGCGCACTCTTTTCCTCTTAATAATTATAATTGGTGAAAAATTGTTCCCTCCAAATATCCATTCACCTTTCCCTCCAATTAATCCGTGAATTTCTAATTTTTTATATATACTATATATATATATATATTGCATTGGACATCATATATGTATATATATATATATATACACACACACACACGGAGTCCTTTCCATCATCTACGGATCTACCAAACAATCAAAGCCAACTGACGGAGAGAAACAGGCGACCACAAAGGTGCACTGCGTACTACTACTAGTATTTTTTTTTTGCCAAGTCTTCCTCCATCCGGCCATCAACATCATTATTAGCCACCAATGATTACTCCTATCCTGTGTCAAAGCCGAGGCCATGTATCGCCATGGCACACGCCCAGATGCCTCCGGTGGCTAGCTACCCCATGGATCCATGATGCTGATGCGGAAAATCCACCACCGTGATCCGTCGTTGCGGCCTACGATCCAGTTCATCGTGGCCGCCGCCGCCGCCGCCACCACGGCCGCCGTGCCCGCGGCCAGTGCCGCCATCGCCACGGCCATGGCCACCGTCGCCACGCCGGCCACCACCACGGCCGCCGCCACTGCGGCTTGCACAACTGCCATCATCGCCGCCTCCGTCATCTCTACACCGCAAGAAGATGCGATGCCTCCAATTCCATACTGCCATGTTGATCCGTCAAGTCTTCCTCCATCCGACCATCATCATCATTATTAGCCACCAATGATTACTCATGTCCTATGTCACAGCCAAGGCCATGTATCGCCATGGCGCACGCCCAGATGCCTCCGGTGGCTAGCTACCCCACGGATCCATGATGCCGATGCGGAAAATCCCCGGCCTCCGATCCAGTTCTTCGTGGCCGCCGCTGCCGCCGCCACCACGGCCGCCATGCCCGCGGCCAGTGCCGCCATCGCCACGGCCACGGCCACCGTCGCCGCGGCTTGCACAACTGCCATCGTCGCCGCCTCCGCCATCTCTACACCGCAATAAGATGCGATACCTCCAATTCCATACTGATATCTTGATTTCGATCTATGAATATGCATCACATCCATACCATATTTGTACTGGACACCAACCTACGACACCCATGCCTCCAGCCCAATCCAACTTTATATTTCTCAAATTATTTTTTGACAGATTGTTTCCATCCTTTGTATGTCTCAAATTATTTTTTTTCGTCAGATTGTTTCTTTTGGTAAAATATCCATTAATTTGATGGCTATGTTTCTCCATCAATTCCATTGCTGTTTCGCAAGGAAAATGGCTCCACGGGTGCCTCAACGAACAATTGTTGAAATGGATACAGAATTTGATGAGCTTGCCTCTGCTTTATCCAAAGATCCAAGGGACCCCCTGACCTCTAGTATAGGTTTGTTTTATACATTCAGCACCACCAAATATTTCTTTGCGAAAAAATTCTGATGTATTGTAGCATGTTGCATCAAAGGAAATTAGGAAAGCTACAATTTTCTGAAGCCTCGTTTGTAATATAATGTTTCTATATTGCTTCTAGTGTATAAGAAAACTTACATGATCTTTTGTTAAGTTCATATGATGTGTCTTCTAGTTATCAGCAACTTGACTTATTAGTACTGATAGCGATTCCATTAATAATCTCCATGAGAACATGCAAGTTCTTGACTTCTTGTTTAATTGAATGCACCATTACTTGTTCATAGATCTGAACGAGAGCTACTATGAACAAACACATGGGGTTTGTGTTCATGCCGATGTCAAAAATCCTAGTTATATTACTTGCAACTGTGTTCACTTGCATTACTTCGTGTGCTGATGGTACAATAAAAGATAGCCATTTCTTTTGTATTTAGTTATGTAAAATTTACAAAATGCCTATTTTTGTTTCTATAGGTGAAATAACAACCAGGTTACGTTCACGTGGCTCTCGAACTGACAATGAACGTGATCAATTTGATTCAGATGTGGCAATGGATGAAAATAATCAAATAAATGCTTCAACACACAACACTAAAGGTGTTTTGCTAATCTGAAACCTGCTTCTTTACACCATTGTTTATTTCGCTGATTTAGCTAGGTACTGTTATGTTGATCTACATTTATTTCTTTATACGACATAATAACAAGTGCTACATTTAGCATGTCACAACCTGTTATACTAATCTAAAATTTGATTCTTGACACTATAGAGTACAAACATTACATTTAATTACCCTTGTTCTTTTCCCTAAATTAACTAGGCCTTGCTAAGAGTGGAAGAAAACTTACAATTAACAATCAACTTCGCAAGAGAAGAGCAAAAGGAAAGCATATTGATATAAAGTTCCCTAAAGAATTTGCAAAAGTGTGTGGAGAACATGCTAGTTTATTTAAAAGTGAGATAACAGTTCTTGTAAGAACTGTACCACTCCAAGTGAAGAAGTGGAGGGACATGGATAAGTTTCATCCTGGTACTACTACATCTATTTGGAGAAAACTAAAGGTGACCTACTTTTCATATGAAATGAATATATTTGGCATGCATAGGTTATCATTGTATTCATGGCCGGTTATTACAATATATCTTTGATGTACAACAAAAGTTTCCTGAGCTTTCAGAAGAAGATAAAGATTGTGTCATGAGACAAGTAGAGAGTCAATATAATAATCAGCGTTACCGTCTACTTCAAGCTTACCGAAATAACAAGCCAAGGCCACAACATGTCTCACCAGAAGGTTGGCAATGGTTGATAAGGAATTTGTGGACGGATGATGATTTTCAGGTACATACAACTCATGTCCTAAATTACAGTGCTACATAATTGTTAATGATACATTTATGCAATTTGTAAACCAGAAAAGGAGCAACCAAAACTCTATCAACAGAGGAAAGCAAGAGATGGGGGTCCAAAGTAGGAACTAGATCAATTGCTCAAATCGCTTACAATCTGGTGAGGAAAATAGTTACCAGGCAGATTTTTTTCTATTACACATCGTTATGAATTAGTGAATATATG